TGTGTTATCATCTCAGCTCTAACTAGGAAGATGATAGGTTGGTACAGGGAAACAGTGTTTTTTAGACCTGGCAGGCAGTTTCATTATGAACTCACAAAAGATGCGACAGTATGCACGGGACCTGTGCAAGCTCAAGCCAGATAAACTCCACCATAGAATGAAGAAGTGTGCACACATTCCTACTTTTATATAAGTTGCCATTTGATAGCTGCCAGAGGTAGAGTGTTAGTGTTTTAGGGGAGTTTACCTGGGTAGGTCAACTATACCCAGGTGATGGCAACCCATCCTATAGGACATAGGCAACATAAATTGGGCTTTATGAGTTTAAGAAAAAAAAAGTGGACACAAAGTTGGTCAGGCATAAAGTGAGGGAGTCTGAGAAGAGATGGGGAATGATGAATTTTATTCAAATACAGGTATGAGGTTCTCTAAGAACTAATAAGAAAAGGAATACACACTGGAAAAGATTATTTGCTTGTTGTCATAAATAACTGGATGTGACTTCAAAAGTACCATCAACAGAAAGAAAATAGAAAGGTTTTCTTATATCCATCTAAAAGGTTTTGCCTAGCAGGATGATTCACACACTATTCTATACAAAGAATAGGAAGTCAAAACCCAAAATTTATGTGAAATGTCTACAAATAAACAGCATGCTGAAAATTAATTGACATTAAAATAATTGGAAAAATATAAATATTTTTCAAAAGAAAATCTACAGATGACCAAAGGTGAATTTTCAAAACTGCAAGTCAAAGTCACAATAATTGATCTCTATAGTTGTTAGTAAAATGGATATTAAAAAGAAAATGAGTGTTAGAGAACAGGTGAAGTAATGGAAACCCTATAAACAGTTAGAATGTGTATGGTGACAGTCAGTATAGAAGGTAGTGTAGAAACTACACCCAGATATTTAGAGCACTACTTCATGAGCATTCTCATAGATTAAATAGGAGACAAAAGGAGTTGATCTCAGAGAAATGTTTGCACTATGAAATTCGTTGTGACATAGTAATAGGAGGAATATGAACATAATAAAAATGTTTATCAACAGAGGGATGTTCAAAGATAATATTTCCTTCTACTTCTTCCTTCTTTCCTGTCTTCCTTCTTTCCTTCCTCCCTCCCTCCCTCCCTTCCTTCCTTCCTTCCTTCTTCCTCCTTACTCTCTGTCTCTTTGTCTCCCTCCCACTGACTTTTTCTTTCTCTCTCTATATATAATTTGCTCTTCCTTTCTATCCTTTACTTCTCACATTTACGTACAATAACACCATAGTAACCAAACAGTTAAAAATACACAAAAGGCATCTCACATTTAGGAAAGCAATATTTTCAAGGAAATACTTTATTTAAAAGCATATCTTTTTATGAAATGGGGAAGGATACAAACAGGTCACATTTTACAAGGCATTATGATGACAATGAGGATCATTTCTGCAAATACTTGTGCTGTCAAATTAAAGATGAAGAATAGGTGGCCATGTTGTGTTTCATTTATTATTCCTCAGATAGTTTGAATAAAGGTTGGAATTTATGAAGATTTAAGAACCTCTGAAGTGAAGGAATTTAGAGTGAGCAGCTACAGAATCTCCTCAGAAGAATCCATAGGACCAGTACCTTCTACAGCACAGTGGGCGGCAGCAGCCATAACCATAGCCACCATAGCCACCATAGCCACCATAGCCACCATAGCCACAGCCATAGCCATAGCCACAGCCATAGCCTAGGCCACCATAGCCATAGCCCAGGCCTCCATAGTATCCGCCATAGTAACACATGGTGTCAGGAGTGGACTGTTCAGAGGACGATAAGCAGTAGGTTTCTTGAGTCTGCTGTCACCATCTGCCAAGGGCCTTTTATACACCTGGGTTGTTGCTGGGGAAAACCACAGGCATTGCAGCATCACACATCTCTGCACAGTGCCTCAGAAAACATCACTAGTTCCAGGATTTACTGGGCATAGAAGGCTGCATAACTGAGATAATTGTGCTTCTGCCTCAGGTCCCATAGTCAAATATAAAATCTGATGTAATTTTCAGGTCTCTAAGCCATTCTTCACATAACTTAATGGAACAGCACAGGATTCTATCAGATGATATAAATTATGACATAGTTTTCTCCTTTTTACATATATTGAGCTTTCATTACCCCACAGAAAGATCAGTTTTTCCCCTTCTATTTTGTAATTTTGGAATGAATCTTACCTGGAAGAATTTGTTTCTTAAATCTTTCTCATGAAATATATATATATATATATATATATATATATATATATATATATATATATATATATATATATATATACATACATACATACACATATACACCCACAGAATTTCTTTGGACAATTGCCAGAATATGCTTCAGAATATGCATACACACCATGCACAAAATTTAGATAGAACTCCCTATAAGGTCCTCTCAAAAAATGAAAGCAAAAATGAAATAAAAACTGTATAGACTCCTTGGGAGACCAGAAAAGCCATCTGTACTTCGTCTCAGTTTATAGCTGATGGAGGGAATATTGGTACAAAAGGTGACAAACCATCACTGAAAGATTTAAAGTTTGAACTTTTCACACATTTACCAAAATATATGTTTATCTAAAATAAAATACATGCAGCTAAACATTTATTCAGGGAGTTTGACAAAGAGATAAATCTAAGTAAATGAGGTGACTTCATGGTAAATGTAGCTACTGAACAACTTCATGAGAAGTTTTCCCTCTAATTTTAGAGTGTCCAAAATGAAATTCTTGGGACACACAAATACTGTCGGTGGTAGAGTCTTGATCATTATGTTATAAACCAGTCTTGTATATCGAGATATGAAGAAAGTGCCTGTATCTGAAACCATACATAAAATAAAAGTATACATGGAGCTGAATCCACAGAATTACTATAACATTACATGAGGTACTGCAAAAAGAATACATATTTGAAGAATCACAGCTAACATTCACAAAATATGTGATATTTGAATTTTAGGTCTAAATTAGCTCACTGTTCCTGCTTCATCCATTCAGCTGTAATTTTCACAATTTCACTTTTCTTAGCAGTTGGATCATGTTCCATTATGTAAATATAACACAAATTTAATATACATTTATCTGTAGTTGGACAGCAAGGCTATCGCTATTTCCTGGATATAATGAACAGAGCAGCAATGATCATGGATAAGCAAGTATACTATGATACAGAGACCTTTCTGCTTATGTTTAAGCATTGTATATCTGGATCATGTAGTAGGCCTATTTCTAGAGTTTTTTTTATGTGTTTTGAAAAATAATCTCCACATTTATTTCCACAGTGGCCCACCAGTTTGTACTCTCGCCAGCTGTAAACAAATGTTTCCCTTTCTCCAAATCTACACCAGTATTTATGGTCAGTTGTGCTTTTCATCTTAGCCATTCTGACTGAGGTAAGAAGACATTTCAAACTAATTTTGATTTTTATTTCCCTGAAGGCTATTGATGCTGAATATTTTTTAAAACATTTCTCAGTTTTTTTTATTTCGTCACTTGAGAGGCACCTGTTTAGTTCCATATCTCCTTAATAATTTTGGTAGTTTTTTCTTGATGTTATCTTTTTGAGGTCTTTGTGTATTCTAGATACTAACCTTCTCTTCGATGTATACAAGCTAAGCTTTCCCCCATAATTTAGGGCCCCTCTTTACTTGAATGATGGTGTTCTTTGCTGTACAGAGCTTTTCAGTTTTATTAGGCCATACACACGCACACGCACACGCACACACACACGCACACGCACACACACACACACACACACACACACACACACTGGTGGTAGGGATAGATCAGGTATAATTGCTGGCAATGCATGACTACAAGTAAACAATGTTTTCCAGACACAGAAGGCAGTTCTTCGTATGAACATAGTAGAAAAGATTCTTTTCTTATTCTCATAAATGATTGGATGTGACTTCAAAAGCACGAGCAACAGAAAGAAAACAGAAACATCTGCTTGAACCCATCTAAGAGGTTTGACAAAGCAGGGCAATCCACACACTACTCTATACAAAGAATGGGAATTCAATGACCAAAAAGTATGTGGAATATCTACAAATAAACTGGTGTTGTAATTGTTAGAGAATTGTTATAAACATTTTTCAAAAGAAAATCTACAGATGACCAAGGGTAAATTTTCTAAATCGTAAGTCAAAGTTACAATGGGATTATTCTCTATAGTTGTTAATAAAATGGACATTAGAAAGAAAATGGATGCTAGTGAACAGGTGAAGTCAAGGGAAACCTCTCCACAGTGAGGATGTATGTCTTGACAGTCATAGAAGGCGTTTTGGATACTCTTCTCAAGATATTTAGAGAACAAATGTGATAGTTTTCAAAGTTTAACTAACAAACAAAAGGATTTGTTCTCAGAGAAATATCTACCAAATTCATTGTGACATCATAATAGCAAAAATATGAAGATAATAAAAATGTCTACCAATAGAAGACATTTTAAGAATGTTTAAGAAGAACACTCCCCTTTTTCTTCCTTCCTTCCTTCCTTCCTTCCTTCCTTCCTTCCTTCCTTCCTTCCTTCCTTCCTTCTTTCTTTCTTTCTTTCTTTCTTTCTTCCTTTCTCCCTTTCTCCCTCTTTCCTCTCTTTCTTTCCTTCTTTCTCTTCTTAATTCCCATTTATACACAGTCACAAATATGTAACCAATCAGATATAAATGCATAAACATACATTCTGCATTTAGTAAGATGACAGGAAAACAATATTTCAAGGAAATAATTTATTTAAAAGCATATATTTTCATAGAGTGGGGAAGAATTCAAACATTTTACAAGGCATTATGATGACAAAGAGTAACTTGTCTGCAAATATTCATGCATTCAAATTGAAAATAGGGAATTGGGTGGGCCATGTTGCGTTTTGTTTATTTTTCCTCAAATAGGTAATCATGAGGTTGGAATTTATGAAGATTTGAGAACCTCTGAAATGAAGAAAGTTGGAGTGAGCAGCTAGAGAATCTCCTCAGTAGAAGCCACAGGTCCAGTATCTTCTACAGCACAGTGGGCGGCAGCAGCCATAACCATAGCCACCATAGCCACCATAGCCACCATAGCCACAGCCATAGCCACCATAGCCACAGCCATAGCCTAGGCCACCATAGCCATAGCCCAGGCCACCATAGTATCCACCATAGTAACACATGGTATCAGGAGTGAGTGGACTGTTCAGAGAACAATAAGCAGTCAGTTCCTTGAGTCTGGCTGTCACCATCTGCCAAGGGCCTTTTATACATCTGGGTTGTTGCTGGGGAAAACCACAGGCATTGCAGCATCACACATCTCTGCACTGTGCTTCAGAAAACATCACGAGTTCCCGGATTTACTGGGCAGACAAGGCTGCATAACTAAGATAATTGTGCTCATAGATCAGGATCCCAAGTCAAATCATGGGACTCTAATGTGAAATCCTGGTTCCATTTTCAAGACTGCCTCATTCTATATTTAACTTCTTAAATATTTATAAATGTACCCTGTGGTACAATTCAAATAATAAAATATTTTTATGTTTTCAATATTTATTCATTTTCTAATTTTCTATAGGGGATCTTTATTGTTTTGCTAATGTAGGATAAATGTTATCTTGAAGAATATATTTTCTGGATCTTGTGTATGTTATTGTTAACTCAGTGGCTGTGTACATCCTACAAAAGCATAGTTCAGATTTATTCTGAACTCAGTGATTTCATGTATCATGTGTTTCATGTATGTATTATTTTTAAATCTCCAGAAACTTAATGACTATTTTATGATTAAATATATATATATATATATATATATATATATATATATATATATATATATATATAGTTTCATGCTTCTGTTTGTCATCTCACATGTAAGTGCTACAGATGTATTTGTGAAATAAATTGTGTTTTCCTTGCCTGCTCCCTTCCTTATTTTTTTTATTCTAAAGAAGTTCACAATTGTTTTGCAAACAACAGTGGAGTGACTCTTTGAAGTTTCTGGGATTTTCTGGAGCCACACTCAAGGTCTAGACCACTCAATAGTGTCCATAAGGCCTTTATCTCTCTCCCCAGTTCTCTCCTAATCTCAGTGTATAAGTGCACAGACTCTAAACTGGACCCAGTAGAGTGTGGATTTTTCCCTGCACTTCAGTTTGAATAGGGTCCTTCCAGTAGTAATGTAAACAGGATAACAAACAATGATAAGATATAATTTCATTTAGTTTAAAATTTTACTACATTAATTTAAAATACATTTGAGAAAATGAATTAGACCCAGTGAAGAGCACAGCTCAGTGACCTAGGTATGGTATCCCATACCTGTACTGTTTGCCTTTGGGATGCTGAGACAGGAGCTTCTGCTCAAAAATTTGAGGCTGTCCTGGGCTACACAGTTCTTGGCCAATCTGAGAGCCTCTCTCAGAAAAATATGGTATAATAAATTTGACAGTGAATTAGAGATAGCTATACCAATGAGGTACAATTTACATAAGGGTAGACATTAGAGGACTTCTTAAGCAGAACCTCCCCCTCTTACTTTACAGTGGTTGAGTGTCAAATTTCTCCAGATACAATCTCTGTCAGTGGTAGACTTTGTTTTCTTTGAATATGAAATTAGTTATAGATGTGTAGATACAATGAAGCACTCTCTCCCTCTTATTTCCTTATTCTTACAGTCTTTAAACACCTAGCCTCAGCTATAAGTTGAGTGAAATGTATGGGTGTATCTTTCTATTATCTGTCTGTCTGTCTGTCTTCTCTGGCTGTCTAACTATCATGTATCTATCTATCTATCTATCTATCTATCTATCTATCTATCTATCTATCTATCTATCAATTATGTATCTAGCTATCTATCCATCTATCATGTATCTATCTATTATCTCTCTCTCTCTCTCTCTCTCTATCTATCTATCTATCTATCTATCTATCTATCTATCTATGTTTCTTTCTATTATCTATCTAATATATCTTTTTATCTATCATCTATCAATTAATCACCTATCTATCTATCTATCTATCTATCTATCATATATATATATTTCATGTATACTTCCAGTGCTAATTTTATCAGTTGTGTATGATTTAAAACCTTAATATCTGGAACCATTGTAGACATTTTGATAGATTTCCAGAGTTACAAAGGACATTTTATATAAGCTATTAAAATAGACCTTATTAATGAACATCAGCTTTAGTTTTTCCTTTAAAATGTTTGGTTCAGTTTAAGTTTATGTTGATCTATATCAGCAAAGAAAGGTTTATATGTAGAAAATGATCTCCATGTCCCCTTTGCCAAGGTTCTCCATTTTTTTCCAGGTACACCATCGAGTGTTCATTTTACTGTTGTATTTCCCCCCATTCCACCACCTCCACCATGTGACTGATGTCACCATGTGTCACAGCCCTGGAAATGTTACTGTCCCTCGTGTGGCTTTCACAGAGGCATCACGATGACTCTCTAATTGTGTGGTTGGGGACTCACTCCTCCAGCACAGCCTCATTCTCTGGTGTTCCCTCTTGTTTCGGATTTCCTTTGGGCTGTTGCAATTACTTCCTAAGAACAGAGGATTGGGTCCATTTTTCATTTTTTCTTCTCTCAATTGAGAACAGAGATACATGATTCAGGTGCTGAGATATTTAGTCATAAGAAAATCTAAACCAGCAATTAGAGCAAGTTTGTTTAAAGTAGTTTCTTTTTCAAGAACAAGTGTGATATTGTGCGTGTCATTTACTGTCTGGCTTGGGGTCAAGTAGTCAAAGGAGAGACAGCTGTAAATATGAAGGGCATAATGAGTAAGGCTGGGTTGCCATGGAGGAATGTGCAAGATATCCTGTAGGTAAATTTTTCTACGTATCCCAGTGAAAAGGCATCAGTGTTTTCATGCTGGACTCAGGATAATTTATTCATTAATCTACTTTTAACTGAAGGATGTTATCTAAATAAAGTGATGTATATAAATCAAACGGCATCACTTTTCTTAGAGTATCAGGAAGGGTGAATGAAGGACAGGCCATGCTTGAGCTGAGCCTTCTGCTCTGTAGTGTTGAATTGAGTTCACCTCATTACCTGCCACACAAATTGATTCCATGAATTTGAATAAAACAGGCATTCTCTCAATGTGTGCACTTATTTCTAGAAAGTCTGCTTTTAACTGCTGTGCCTTGCAAGGTATAAGGATTGCCTTAAGTGATGAGAATGAAGACATGACAAGCGTACATAGGCACATATACAGAAAAGCTGGGGTCGGGTGGGACATGCTCTCTGAGATGCAACAACAGCTGCTGAGATAGCCTGAAAGACGAGGAGGCAGACTAGCTCATGCTGTTTGGGAGCAGTCTCCAGCTACAGGCATCAGAGATAGCATGGAAAGGGAAGAGGTAGATTAGCCAATCTTAGTGGGGAGCAGTGTCCAGCTGCATGCATCAGAGATGCAGGTGATGTTTTCTGCACACACTGTCAACATCTGTTCTTGTGTCAGGGGAAGATCTTACCATTCCTCTGAGCCTGACCCAGGGAGGCTGAAGCACTGGAATCCTTGACATGGGTGTGCTCATGTCCATAATACACATTCACTCAGGGCTTTAACCACCCCCTTCATTTAATCATGGGAAAACACATAAAGGAGACATATACCTTAAACAACAGAGAAAATTGAACACTCAAGCTGAATGTTTTCAGAATAGATTTTATAGAAATGGAAAGAAAATTTCTCTTTGAAGCTATTTAGTCTTAACAAATGCCAAAGTAACTCCTCAAATGAAACATGTTTTTATGAATGTTGAAATCTCATATGAGAAACTTGCTAGCATTGAAAGATTAAACAGCACTACCATGTTCTTGTTTTTACTGTTCAGCAAGACAAATTAGTTATTTATGTCATGGATGGACATTTGGGAAATGTAGGAGGTGGTAGGAGAAAGAGTTCTACAGTCCAAGCAGCTCCAGACAGTTCTCAGTAGAATGTGTAGGACCAGTATCTCCCACAGCAACATGGGGGGCAGCAGCCTTATCCATACCTGCCATAGCCATAGCCTATGTATGCCACACAATAGCAGTCATAATAGCTCATGGTTTTGAGAGTGGTAGGGTTCAGTTGAGCAGATTACAATTTCCTCTTTGTGAATGTCACCAGCTGCCTGTGGCTTTTCAACAATTTACATTTTGGGAAGGGCAAGCCACAGGAAGGTGTTAGCTTCATGCTTGACATTAATTCATATTTTTAACTTTTAGGATGCACGGTTTAATAGGGACACAGATGCTTTTCACAGGTAAGAATCCTTTTGGCATTACGTCAGGATCTCAGCAACCCAAGCAGATATCTTTAACAGGAATAATTGTGATATGTGAATGCCTAGTCATGAAACACTATGCTTTTGTTAGTTAAATGTCTATGACAAGTCTCACTGGAGGCACATTGTCCTTGAGCTTTGTGCTCTATTTTGTTATAAGCTTTTCATTTCACAGCAGTATTAGCATTTAGGATTTATTAGTGTCTCTGTACAGAGTTCATGACCAGAGACATTAGTGTAGCTACAAAGCTAACAAAATACCTATTCGTCATTAGTATGTAAATAATTGTGTCCTCTAGATAAGTGCTGGCCATGAATATTTAAGTAGAATGTCTGTAAGTCCCTTTGTTATTTTACTGCCATCTCTTCTTTCACCTTGAAATTTGTTAGGCAGTATCTTGCTAGTTGGTATCTAGGTGGCTTTATTACTGAACTATGGGATTTTCCATGAACTTACTTGTTAATAAACTTTTAAAAATGTATGTTTCCTCCCTTGAGTGAATGAATAACTTTGTAATATAAAGTCCACATTGTCATCTGTTCTCTGTTCAAGACTGAGATTGATCATGTCTCAATTCCAATCCAAATACAGATAAGATATTTCCCCAGATCTCCCTGCATACTCTTGGGCAGTAGCATGTTAACAACAGAGAACAAGGGTCAAGGTATGACCCAGCGCTAGAGTTGAAAGACTGTCATTTCTGGGAGCTGGTGATACATATTACAGATGTGAGCTTCCTATTACACGAGGTCTGGTGTCTCCTAAGTAATATTATTTTCCATGTTCTTCTTTCAGTGGACATATTTTCTTTTCAGGATGGATATAAAAGTATATAATTTATGTTATACATTAACAATGAATAACCTGAGTTTAGTGAATTTAATAAACAAAGAAGAAATTTAATGAGAGAAGTAAAAAGTACAAAATATTTCTGAAAGACATTCAATCTTTTGCTTGCATATGGCAAAGATTAATATTGGTAAGCTGGTAGGGGTCCTCAGATAATCTGCAGTTTCAATATAATCTATGACATAATCTTAGTTGATATTGCAGGAATGTTGAGCATGACTTCAAGATTTTTTTTGAGGATTTAAGAGAAACAACAGGCAAGAGGTAAGGCAATGGTCAAAAGTAATGAAGTCAGAGGCTTTGCAGCTCTCAACTAGAAAACAGTACAAACTACAAGGGTTGGGGTCTTGCAAGTTTAGAATTAGAATAACACACATACTACTCTCTCTTAATCCCGTGTGTGTGTGTGTGTGTGTGTGTGTGTAATGTTGGAAGTCCAGTAATTTATGATTAATTGATTTTCATGAAGAAAATCTGGTGGGAAAAGAATATACTATTCTAAACATATAGTATTGTTACATTTGGATATTTTAATAGAAAACAATCATTAATAATTTTTTAGATTTATGTCTTTGATTCTTCTTTGAGTTAAATCTTTGTTAGGACAGAAAAAATATTCCCATTCATGAGTTTTGTAAGTGAATATCCAATTTTAGTAATGCCATGAATATTCTAAATTCAGTCATGAAATGTTCCATGCCTAAGTTTCATAGACCCAGGTATTAGAAACATTCTGCGTTGTGAAAGCACAGTAGTAGTACGGTGTGTTTGAAGAGCCTCAGTACTGTATTCTCTATTGGCAGTTATTCATTTCTCTCTCCTTCTCTTTTCTCCCGTGTGTATCTACTGACAGGTAGCTGCAGCCCCCAATCATCTGCTAGGAACATCTGTGGTGGATTCTTCAGTGACAGGTTTCAGAGAGAGATTCAGAGCTAGAAGGGTGGCAGGTGCTGTATTATTTCATTTGTATTAACAAAAATTACATGATCTTTGACACATGTTCTTTTTAAAATATGTTATGAAAATTACTTTGTTTGTGCATCTCTAACAGCTTTGGCTTCCTGTGGAAGTTATAAGGTGGCTCCCAAAGCTTCCTTAGTCAAATAAAACAGCAGTGGATCTGATAAATCAAATAAGTACCCCCACGGGTGAATATACATTTATTTATCTGGATTAAGCCACCATCTTCTAAAAATAGACAAAACAATCTCTTTTCTTAACCAAATTTTGCAAAACTCTGTTAACAATGTGTTCATATGTGTGAGGAATCACTGAAACTCTTCTGCACAGAAAAACGAGTGGCAGTCCGAAGACAACCTGTATGAAGCAACAAAATAAATGTTGGACAGGAGAGTGATACCCCAACTGATCATAGAAGATAAATGCCCATGACTTGCAGAAGCCTATATGTACAAATCACAACAAGCAGTTTCATTATATTAAATTTTAATTTCTTATCTTAAAAGATCAGCCTCTTTCATTCCAGTTAAAGAAGAGATATCCCAAAGAATAGGTCTATATTTAATGAAAGTATTTTTTTTTATTTTAAAATGTGGAAATGTTCCCCCCTGCGAAAAAAGGGTTAAAAGGAGTTAACTGTCTTGATGATTTGTATCACACAATAAAATCAGGCCACTCAAATACATATTGAATAGAGTGTTGAAAATAGAACAAGAATTTTATTTCTTTAGAATAAATTTAAATTATTTATGTTTTGAAATTCTGTAAGTTGACACTGTATTTACATCAGTCCCACCTCTTATTATTCCCACCCCCACTCTGATTTCTCCCAGGCCCACTTGCATCTTAAAGCCCCGTGATTTGACAGTGGGATCCTGACATAGAGCACAGTTATCTCAGTTATGCAGCCCTGTCTGCCCAGTAAATCCGGGAACTCGTGATGTTTTCTGAAGCACAGTGCAGAGACATGTGATGCTGCAATGCCTGTGGTTTTCCCCAACGACAACCCAGATGTATAAAAGGCCCTTGGCAGATGGTGACAGCCAGACTCAAGAAACCTACTGCTTATCGTCCTCTGAACAGACCACTCCTGACACCATGTGTTACTATGGCGGATACTATGGTGGCCTGGGCTATGGCTATGGTGGCCTAGGCTATGGCTATGGCTGTGGCTATGGCTGTGGCTATGGTGGCTATGGTGGCTATGGTGGCTATGGTGGCTATGGTTATGGCTGCTGCCGCCCACTGTGCTGTAGAAGGTACTGGACCTGTGGATTCTTCTGAGGAGATTCTGTAGCTGCTCACTACAACTTTCTTCACATCAGAAGTTTTTAGAAGTTGTCATAAATGCCAACCTTATACTAAACTTTCCGAGGAAAACTAAACAAAATACAGCATGCCCATCATTACTCATCTGTATATTAACAGCGTGACAGCTTGCAGTGAAATTCTTTGTTGTATTCATAATGCCTTTGAAAAATGAGACCCAGTTAGATTCTTACTGATTGTATTAAAATAATTTCCCTTTAAATAAACCATTTCACTGAAAATATTGATTCATTTGGTTTTGCTTATTAATCTCCATCAATATGGGATGGGTGTCTGTGTACTCCTTTCAACTCGGTCACAAGTGTGTGTGTGTGTGTGTGTGTGTGTGTGTGTGTGTGTGTGTGTGTGTATGTGTGTATTTTGTGGGTAAATAGGAAGAACATGGGGAAAGAGTAGGAAAGAAAATGAGAGAAAGAAATATTTCCTTTGAACATTCATCTATTATTGAGAGACATTTGGGTTGTTCTCATATCTTTGCAATTGTGAGCAATGTCCCAATGAATTCGGTAGTACAGATATTTTTCTGAGGTCAAATCCTTTTGTCTTCTAGTTAAAATTTCAGAAGTATCACAAGTCAGTTCTATGAATATTTGAGGAAGAGTCTACATAGTGTTCTCTACAATGGCTGTCAGCACACACATTCTCGCAGAAGAGAGGGTTGGTTGGCTTTGCTTCACATATTTGCTAATACCCATATGCTTTCAAAGAGCCATTTTATTAACAGCTGTTGGCTAAAGTCTTATGTGACTTTGATTTGTAATTTTGATATATTAGTGAAATGGAACCTTATTTCTCCCTTTGGTCATCTGAGATTTCTAATCTCTGATCTTGTTAGCATCAGCTTACTATCTTCCTGCTGCTTAGCTGGAGATATTACCTAGTTTTGGTTATTAATCACCTATTTTTTGTATATATTGGTTTTCCTTTCAGTTATGGGTTGTTCTGTGGTATAAAGATTCTTAGTTGGATGCAAAATGACTTTCTATTTTTGTTGTCTATTTTAAAAGTCATAACCAAATTGATTCTGAGAGTAAAAATTAGTTTTTTGAGCTTTTTCATAAACTGTGTTTTGGTCATATTTACTCTTCTCCCCATTTCCCTCCCAGATATACCCTACTTTTTTCTCCTGTCCATACTACTTTGAGTCACATTTTTGTTGAGATAGCATTTTGAAAAATGCTTTCTTTTCTTTTTTGAAATAATAATATAATTATATTAAACATACCTGCTTGATTTGTACTACTTATATACTCTGGGATGTGTGGTCATCCATGGGAGCATGGTTGATGTACCCAGGGTCACATGCCTAAAGAATCCATCTTCTAGCAGCTTTCAATTTCCAACAGCTCCCTAGCTAGTAGTGAGACCTTGTGTACACCTCCTTTTCCACGTTGGGATTTTGTCTTGTTTGAGCTTGCACAGATCTTGTGCATTTGTCACAACTGCTGTGAGTTCACATGTTCACACTTCTTGCTGTGGCTGGAAAGCAATGTGTGCTTGTATTCATCCACCGCCTCTTGCTTTTATAATCGTCTCCTTCCTCTTCTGTAAACAATGATACCAGATCTTTGTGAGAATGGGGTATGTTATAGATGCCCCATTTACGGCTGAGTATTCTGCAGTCTTTAATACTCTTCTCATTGACCAGTCATGGGTCTTTGCAAGAATCAACATCTACTGCAAAAATAAACTTTTTTGAAGAAGATTTAGAGGTGTACCAGTCAAGGTCATAATGACAAGACGTTGTTAGTCTTTAATGTTGTGTTCATTTATCAGCATAGTAATAGCAGGTTTCCTCCAGTTCTAAACACATGTCTAGCCGTAGGTTCTTGGCCTGAGAATGACACCAAGTATGAATTTCATATTATAAAGGGTGCCCTTCATCCACTTAACTGGTTGCTGATTCCCATGCTGTTCCTACAACTATTGAACAAGTGGGTGTGTCTTGTCAGGCCAGATGTTACTGTGGCTTGCAGGGTTTACAGCTACATAAGACACAAGGCTATTTTCCCCCTTATGTAGCATACATAGAAGTTACTCACTCATAAGTGGATACTAGATGTAAACCAAAGGATAATCAGACTGCAACTCACAATTCCAGGGAGGCTACCTAGTAAAGAGGACTGTAGATGTATCCAACCTTCTTATTAAATAATAAACACAGAACCAATGCAAAGAAGAAAGCCAAGAGGTCAGAGCTAAGAGCTAAAACCTTACCCTTCCTCCTGCGGTGGTCCTACCTCTCCGAACCAGAGCTACCCCTGTGTTAAAGTCTTTATATAGAGTTCCTGTCCTGCTTTCTCATTGGTTGTAAACCCAACCACATGACCGCCTCCTCACAGCCTGTCTGTATAGGCCTCCAGGTTTTCCATGATTGGTATTAAGATTAAAGGCATGTGTATCCAATAATGGCTGTATCCCTGAACACACAGAGACTTACCCAGCTCTGCCTACCAAGTGCTGGAATTACAAGCGTACGCTACCACTGCTCTGCTTTCCTATGGCTTGCTAATAGCTCTGACCCCCGGGCAACTTTATTTATTAACATACAAATAATATTTTAATACAAATAAAATATCACCATACATATCAATACATATCATTTTAATACATATCAAAATATCACCACCCAACGGAGGACCCTAAGAAAGACACAAGGATCACTCAATGACAGAGAAATGGATGAAATCTACATGGGCAAACTGGTGGAGGTAGGGTAATGGAGGGCAAGGGTTGGGGAAAAGAGAGCTTAGGGGAGCGGGAGGTCCCAGCTGGATCAGAAGCAGAGTGGGAGAATGGGGAGGGAGATACCATGATGAATGTAGACCCCAGGGAATAGGAAGAAGCAGAGTGCTAGAGAGTTCCCCAGAAATCCACAAAGATATCTCCACTGTAGACTACTGGGAATGGTCGAGAGAGTACCTGAGCTGACCTCCTCTGGTGAGTGGATGGCCAAACACCCTGGCTGTCATGATAGAACTCTCATCCAGTGTCTGATGGAAGCAGATGCAGAGATCCACGGCCAAGCCCCAGGTGGAGCTCCGGGAGTCCAATTGGCAAGAAAGAGGAGGGACTGTATGAGGGAGAGATATTAAGACTATGATTAGAAAAAGTACAGGGACAAATAGCCAAACTAGTGGAAACGCATGAACTGTGAACCAATGGCTGAGGAGCCCCCATGGAACTGCACCAGGCCCTTTGGATAAGTGAGACAGTTGTTTAGCTTGAACTGTTTGGGAGGCCCCCAGGCAGTGGAGCCAGGACCTGTCCTTGGTGCATGGGCTGACTTTTTGGAGCCTGGGGCCTAAGCTCAGCCTTGGTGTAGGAGGAGGAGGAGACTGGACCTGCCTCAGCTGAGTCTACTAGGCTGGGCTGACTCCCCAGGGGAGACCTTGCCTTGGAGGAGGTTGGACTGGGGGGTGGCTTAGGGGGGAGGGCTGGGGGTGGGAGGAGGGAGGACAGGGGTTTCCGTGGGTGATATGTGAAATCAAGTTATTTATAAAATAAAAATATTAAATAAAAAAGAAAGAAAACATTTAAAAAAAAGAAGAAGAAGAAGTTTCCACAACTTTGGAAACTAGCTAGTAGGGCTAACACTTCCATGTAATTACCTGACTGATCTTTCCATGTTCTGTGACTCAGGAATTTGCTGTCTTCAGCAATAAGATCTTACCATCAAGTCTTAGAAGCCAAACAAGAGGACTGGCAAAAGTCTGTCATTTTGGGGGTGTCTGTGAGATCTTTATAGCCAACGATTACAAAAAGTCTAACCCATTGTTGGCACAGGGACTTTTATTTCTTAGTCTGTATTGTTTTACCTTTAGTTCCTCCTCCTTGCTGCCCTCCTGTACCCCATTCCCATTCTACTTTTCTGCCTTACACAGATTTATATTAATCCATTCCACTTTTACTCTCTTCAAAGTCCTGCCTCCCCACATGTCCTTTTAGTAATTTCCTGACCTCTACAGATCTACAAGAATGGCCTGGTGTTTGCCTAACAGTAGACACATTGATAATGGAACCTGATAGAGAAGAAAATAGGCAAAGCACTAGAACTCACTGGCACAGGGAGAGACTTTGAGACTAGAAATTCAAGAAGCACAGTTGTTAAAACCAAAAACCGACAAATGAGAACTCAAACAACTAAAGCTTCTGTACAGCAAAAGACATCATTATTTGAGTGAAGAAGCATCCCATATAATGGAAAAATCTTTAATGGCTATACTTCCAATAGATGCCTAGTATCTAAAATATACAAAGACCTCAAAAAAAAAACTGAACATCAGGAAAACAAACTACTCAATTATAAAATAGGATGTGGAACTAAACAAACATATCTCAAATGATGAACTATAAATGCATGAGAAACATTTTAAAACTGTTCAGCATCGTTAACCATCAGAGAAATGCAGATGAATATTATTTTGAAATTTCTTCTTACTCCAGTTAGAATGGCTAAGATGGAAAACACAATTGACTGCAAATGCTGATGTGAAGTTAGAGAAAGGAAACACTGATTTGTTGCTTGTGGGAGTGCAAACGGGCTCAGCCACTATAGAAATCAGTATGGAGTTTCCTCAAAGTCTAGAAAGAGATCTGCTACATGATCCAGGTATGCTAGGCTTGACTGTATGCAAAGGAATCTACATCTTACTAAAAATTACCTGCTTTTTCATATTCATATTCATTGCTGCCCTATTCACATACATCCAAGAAATGGGAGCAGCCTAGATGACCATCTACAGATGAATGCATAATGCAACATGTTATATTTACTCAATGTGATATTATTTAGTTGTTAAGAAAATGTAATTATGCGATTTTCAGATAAATAGAGCTGAAAAATTCATTCTGAGTGAGGTGACCCAGACCCAGAAAATCAAATGTCATGTGTTTTCTCTCACTTCTAAATGTTAAATTTGATTCTTCATATATGTGAGTTTAATTTGGTATAT